CTCACCGCTGGGCTTATTGCTTTCATCCGGCTTCTCTGCATCCTTCTCCTCGTGCTTGTTCTCTTGAGATGCTTCCGCCTTCTTCTGCTTGTCGATGTGGCCAACGATCAGGTGAAGCTCTTCCGTGGTCAACTGATCCACCGTGTGCCCTCGGCGTAGGATGGCCTCCACCCGACTCGCTGTAGCATCATGACCATCAGCCTTCTCACTGTTGCTTGCCTGCTTCTCACGAGCCTCCTCACTGTTGCTTGCCTTCTTCTCATGAGCCTTCTCACTGTTGCCTGCAATCTTCTCATGAGCCTGCTCATCTGCTTGCTTCTCCCACTTGTTCCAATCATAGCCCGACCAGGAATCCCAGGAATCATGAGCCCAGTGCCATGAGGCACTGGACCACTCGCCACCCCATTCATTCCAACCCCATGGCCTCGCCCAGGATGCATCCGACCAGGAAGCCGACTGCCAGCTCTGGTCCGATGCCACCTCGATCACGGGACTTGGTGTAATACGTACTATAGTACTATAGTACTTGGAGTGTTGCCGTACATTTTAGTAGGATCCGCTTGGCTTTGGGACTTTAGCCTGGTTATTATAACAGGGCTGGGAGGGGGCTTTATCATTTATAAGGGTCCTGACATAATTTAGATTTCGATTGCTCGGGCCGTTTGGGGTTGGGGCCTTCACTTTGAAATGGTTGGAGTGCATTGGAGCCTTACCCAAGAGCCCTTTAAAAAGATATATTTGGGTTATGTAGTATATAGAAGACGTAATTAAAGTTGCTATATATATATATATCTATATATGTATATATATATATAGCCCCATGGACAAGGAGCCCCACACTCTGCTCCAGCATGCGTGGCGTACACTGTGGCTCTACGTTCTCAGCACCCTAAACCCTAAACCCAAAAATCCTGAATACCCATCCGAGTCTCAAGCCCAAGGCAGGAAAGCACAGACCCCAATACCCACATTACATCATAAACCTAGAGGCCCGAAAACCTAAACCATTTACCGTACATTCCTCAAAAACCAAAATCAGAAACACTCGATCATGACTAGCCCCGAGACAGGTAGTAGTAGTAGTAGTAGTAGCAGTAGTAGCAGTAGTAGTAGTAGTAGTAGTAGTAGTAGTATTGTAGTAGTAGTAGTAGTAGTAGTAGAAGTAGTAGTAGTAGTAGT